TTTTATTTATCCATTAATTTTTTTTTATTGATACGTTCATAGTGCTGTGGTCTTCGATCGTATTCGGTCTACTTTTTATATTCGGTCGGTTGGGGGATCCGTCCAAAGACGAGTGTTGGATGTCGATATTCTGTGGTTGTCTAAGGTCAATAGGTCAAGTATGTAATAAGTATAGGGGGAACAGCGAACTCCTTAACTTTAATAGTATTGATGTGAGCAATGTCAGATTGCTGGCACATTATTCTTTAAATGGCGTCGACCTGAGGCTCGTGATTAGTCGGTGTATTAGCATCATGATAGGTAAAAGCCATCAGCTTGTGCGCCGAAATTGGGTGAGGTCACTAGTGCAAAGGGCAATTGGCCACGAGGGCAGATCTTTAGACATTTTCTGAGGACACTGCCGTCTACGGAGGCGATGAAAAACTGTTTTTGTTTCAGCGGTGACCTAGCATTTTATGGCTTTTATAGAAAGACCATGAAACCATGTCCTTCTGCCCTGACATGCGAAAGTAAATCGGAGAACCTTTTGACCCTTCAAGTCAGGAGGGTATAAACAGGCTTGTTACAGCTGTCAACAAAGGGACTTGAACTGCGTGTTTGCTATTAAAATCCCTCCGCCCCACCCTCCCCTTCCCCTCCCCACCCTCTCCCACCGCCCCCCTACCCTCCCCCTTCTCCCCTATCCTCAAGAGGAAAAGGGTTATAACATTGATATTTGTTGCACTGTTCTGTAGAAAGAATTGGACTGCCGGCGTTTGCCTAGTAGAACTATATCATGCTCTTTGGTATTGTATATGCTACAATGGTCACAATGTGAATATTTCAAAAGCTAAAATTCCTGGTTAAAGAAGGTTTATGGCTCCTTAAATCGTATAATGTTATATGGCATTCTGTAGATGTCAGTATGTTAATTAACGTATGCCACTGCCAAGATGCTGCGTGCCAGTGCAATGATGCAATGTTGGGGCATTTTTGCCTGCTTAATTCGTTGGCAGCTGGCAGCCTCATTTGCAGCCTGTAGGCTTGCGTAAGGTAAAAGTGGATGATGTGCTTACCTACTTCTGTTTGCCAAATAGTGTTGCCTACTCTTCTACGAATGATGGGTAAGCTTGCCATCTTAAGCTGAAGACACTTAAACGTACGCGCCCATCCTCGTGGCAACTTTCATAACGATCCGCAAGAACAATTCTTTGAGAAGGTTCCTGATGACATCGTCTGTGCCATTCCACTATTTCGGCGTGTATGTGAACACATTCTGGACATAAGCAGGTGTTTACTAGAATCGCCTACCACTCCACCACAGAGTCCAACCGCAGTGACGTAGATTGAGCCGCCCCGTCGCTATCGGCGGCACTTGTTAATTTAAATCATAATTATAAATGTATTTCACAGTATTGACTGGTTGCTACTCATTATTACTGTGTTCTTCCTCTAAAATTATCGGCAGTGGTTGGAGGTACGGCAGCCGTATCTCCAGTTTCCGAGGCTGGAGGCACGGCAGTCCATTCGCTTTCACACAAACGAGGCAAAGATGGCGGCGGCCAATTCGGATTTTGAAATAATGCATTGGGAAATAAATTCACGATTTGTGAGTTTTAATGAGCTAGAAAACACGGATTAGGTATGAAAATGAACATTATTGTAAACTTTACATCAGAAGATCGCAAATAGTTCTCAGCCCTCAAACAAACGCCAAAAGGGGCTTCAACGAACGATGGCTGCCGTACCACCAGCCACTGGAAATTATTCTGTCATGTATCAGTAACCAAATGTGTACTCGATTCATGATGATGTTGACAGTTTTCTAATAATCTTGTGTTTTCATATCAGTTCTTTTGATTCGCAACCGAGAAACACAGAAGCCCAGAGGTTTTGCCTTTATCACATATGAAAACCCTGCGGATGCCGATGATTGTTGTTCAGCAATGAATGGAAAGGTAACTTCACTCAAGTTCTAGTTTTATATGCTGATTTAGGTAGAGATTTTAATGACTTGCCTCAGCAATATCTTATTTCATGATAGGTCTCGCACATATGTAACTGTTAAGTAGTAATCGTGATGAACTAATCAAATAGTAATTGTATTCTTTAAAAAAGTAATGGTTTCAATTAAATGTTTGAGTGGACATATTTGTTTGACATTATGTTAAGTTTTAGACCTACCCACATAATAAAAACTTGCAACAAAAATTGGAGAAATGCTGAGACTCTTACTAAATACCCTGCAAACATGCATATACAGGAACGTGTCATATAGAAATGTACAAGTCGTCTTATTTCTTGTCTTTCAAATTTTTTCAGCAATTCATGGGCTCCGAGTTGATGGTTGCACCAGCAAACAAGCCAAGAAATCGTGACGATGGTGATCGAGGGTTCCGTGGCAGGGGAGGATACGGTATGCAACACTATATTCTAGATGCATCGGCAATACAATGTTGTGCCTACCCTACCCGGGTTTTTCTCGGGCCCTTTCCCATTGATTCCATTTTGCATACAATTGAACGTTGTTCGTTTATCCCACGTTGAAAGTGTCGTCAAAAGGTAAGTTCCGTTCGTAACACTGAAGGGAATGTTTGCCTTGGTGCCTGTCCAATTTGTCAAGGTGCCAAAGGCAATACTTGCTTTGCCCTAGAGATTTGTTTTGTTTTAAAGTGGTGGTGTATTGTGCTATTGGTGTGTATAGGCCATGGGCCAAGAGTGATTATTGTTCACTTTCGTTTGACACCTCATGGAACCAAGTTTAAATCTGGTTATAAGTTAAATACATTATCCTGATTATAAATCACCAATGTTTACCCCAAAATTCTTGCACATTAGTTTGTAATAAGCTTTTGAAAAGTGGAATTTTCCGAAACAGACAAATTCTGGCAATAGGTGGCTGTATGCCAGTATGCGAAGCTTGAACCAATCACGGTGCTCTATGTGAAGCTGGACCAATTGCGGTGCTCCATTTCACCATAATGGCAGCCCCCACAAGATGCTCACCAGAATAATCAGAATATGTACAAATTATGAATTCGGTCTTAAAGTGATTACGTCGCCGTAAATAATAAAAATAAAAAAAATATTTCCACTTTTTCACAAAATATAAGTAATTCTGTTCACTTTTTAGCTCAGCGTGTAGAATCGCATGATCGTTCGTCCGTCAACAGTTGGGCACAAATCTTAACCGCTCGACGTACGGTCAGACTTATTGCAACATTACATTTATTTTATAAACAGTTCATGACAAGATTGTTTCGCCATAGCTGCAAGAAACGGTCTTGCTAGGGTTAGAAGACCGTTTCAAACATTGGCTGCAGCTAAACACGTAGTTGTCTTATTTGCCAAGTATCGCCAAAGAACAC